AAAATTACTTGACCTGAGCAACGGGCAAAATTCACGGACAGACACGCCTGTGAGGGAGTGCACCGGACTTACGTTCTCAGAGTCTGATGTTCACATCCCTGGCGCTCCAGCAGCAGAAGAGAAAGAGGGTCGGGCTAGAGGTATTTGAAAAAACCATGGCGGCGAACAGTTCAAGTCTGGCAAAGACACGGGCCTGCAGATTCAAGAGGCTGAGCAGGCCCGGCCCAGGGACCAGCACGTGGCAGTCGGGGCAGCAGCAAGCCCTGCGCAAGAGCAGGGCGCAGCGCCCAGGTCGACCACAACGCCAGGCCACACGGCTGCACCTGGTCCTGCCGAGGACGCTGGGAAGGGCTCTGTGGAGGGCGCTGACTGATTTCTGTCTCTCATAAAAATAAAGACATGGACTTGATAAAAATATTAAAGCAAATGCCAGACAAGATAAATGCAAAGAAATGCATGCCATGACACATCGCCTTTAAACCTCTGGAAACCAAAGAAAAGAAGCTGGCACGTCACCTGTAAGTGGGCATGTCACCCGAGAGATGGCATGTCACCAGTGAGATGACACGTCCCCCGTGAGATGACACATCTCCCGTGAGATGGCATGTCACTCGTAAGATGGCACGTCCCCCGTGAGGTGGCACATCCATGAGGTGGCACGTCCCCCGTGAGGTGGCACGTCCCCCGTGAGGTGGCACATCTGTGAGGTGGAACGTCCCCCGTGAGGCAGAAATGACTGCACAGCAGCAGATTTCCCAGAAGTTCCAGGAACCAGAAAAAAGCGGCACAGCCGAGTCCCCGCCCGAAGGAAAATGGCCACACAAACTGCACGCCCGTACAGGTGACCTTCAGAGCAGGACATGCAGGCATCCTGGGTGTGGAATGAGTGCTGAAGCTGAGACCATCGGAGCAGACTTTACCTCAAATGATGCCGAGACAGTCTACACAGTCCCCACCCCCTAGTGTGCTCCCCAGCACTGCAGTCACCTCCCCTCAGAGCCCTCCCCAGCACTGCAGTCACCTCCCCTCAGAGCCCTCCCCAGCACTGCAGTCACCTCCCCTCAGAGCCCTCCCCAGCACTGCAGTCACCTCCCCTCAGAGCCCTCCCCAGCACTGCAGTCACCTCCCCTCAGAGCCCTCCCCAGCACTGCAGTCACCTCCCCTCAGAGCCCTCCCCAGCACTGCAGTCACCTCCCCTCAGAGCCCTCCCCAGCACTGCAGTCACCTCCCCTCAGAGCCCTCCCCAGCACTGCAGTCACCTCCCCTCAGAGCCCTCCCCAGCACTGCAGTCACCTCCCCTCAGAGCCCTCCCCAGCACTGCAGTCACCTCCCCTCAGAGCCCTCCCCAGCACTGCAGTCACCTCCCCTCAGAGCCCTCCCCAGCACTGCAGTCACCTCCCCTCAGAGCCCTCCCCAGCACTGCAGTCACCTCCCCTCAGAGCCCTCCCCAGCACTGCAGTCACCTCCCCTCAGAGCCCTCCCCAGCACTGCAGTCACCTCCCCTCAGAGCCCTCCCCAGCACTGCAGTCACCTCCCCTCAGAGCCCTCCCCAGCACTGCAGTCACCTCCCCTCAGAGCCCTCCCCAGCACTGCAGTCACCTCCCCTCAGAGCCCTCCCCAGCACTGCAGTCACCTCCCCTCAGAGCCCTCCCCAGCACTGCAGTCACCTCCCCTCAGAGCCCTCCCCAGCACTGCAGTCACCTCCCCTCAGAGCCCTCCCCAGCACTGCAGTCACCTCCCCTCAGAGCCCTCCCCAGCACTGCAGTCACCTCCCCTCAGAGCCCTCCCCAGCACTGCAGTCACCTCCCCTCAGAGCCCTCCCCAGCACTGCAGTCACCTCCCCTCAGAGCCCTCCCCAGCACTGCAGTCACCTCCCCTCAGAGCCCTCCCCAGCACTGCAGTCACCTCCCCTCAGAGCCCTCCCCAGCACTGCAGTCACCTCCCCTCAGAGCCCTCCCCAGCACTGCAGTCACCTCCCCTCAGAGCCCTCCCCAGCACTGCAGTCACCTCCCCTCAGAGCCCTCCCCAGCACTGCAGTCACCTCCCCTCAGAGCCCTCCCCAGCACTGCAGTCACCTCCCCTCAGAGCCCTCCCCAGCACTGCAGTCACCTCCCCTCAGAGCCCTCCCCAGCACTGCAGTCACCTCCCCTCAGAGCCCTCCCCAGCACTGCAGTCACCTCCCCTCAGAGCCCTCCCCAGCACTGCAGTCCTCACCCACCTCACTTCAGAATGCTCGGACCCGTCAGCAGGCACTGCGCAGTACACGCCACCCCACCCCGGCACACGCCACCGTCTCTGTCCATGCCTGGACCTACAGGCATAGGCTCCATGCCATGGTGTCTGAGTGGCTCACGGGTGCTGGTTGCCACCACTCTGCGTGACTCGTGTCGGTCACACCCATGGGGACAATTTGCAGGTGCACTTTGCTCCTCCTGTGGCTGCTGGGAAGGCCCCGTGGACTTCATGTGTGGACTCTCCGGCCGGGGCACACCCGGAGTGTCCTGCTGGTCACACCTAACCCCGCAGGCATCTCTGGACAGCTGCCTGTTTCCAAAGTGGCCACAACTTCTTACCATCTCCCTAGGAAAACTCAAGCGTCCTGACAGTGTCCCAGAGGGGATGAAGCAGCATCTCGTTGAGATATTCATGGGCATTTCCTTAGGACTGGAGCTGTGGGCCATCCGTGAATGCTGACCATCCACTTCTGTCTCATTTTCTGAGGAATATCTATTCATATCTTTTGCTTCTTTTCTCCATTGGGTTATCTTTTTATTGTTAAGTTGTAAGAATCATTACAAATTAATATTTTCATTAAGACCCTAATCTGATATGTAATTAATAATCATTTTCTTTATTGTGGAATTCTTTGCGGCATGAATGATTTCAGTTTTCATGATGTCATTTTTTATTTTGTCACTTCTGCTTTTAACGCCTTCTCTGAGAATGACGTCTGACCCATGGCACTGAAAATGCCCTCCTCCACGCCCGTCTGAGGTCCCATTGTTAGCTCTTTTGTCAGGCCTCTGACCCACTTGGGGTTCATGTTTGTAGGCGGGGTTAGGAAAGGACGCCTGTGCATTCTCCTGCAGGTGAATCTCTGGCAGTCTGAGCAAAAACGAAGCCTGTCCCTTTCCTCCTGGGCAAGTTGGTCACACGCCAGCTGCCGTGTGGGTCAGGCCTTGTATCTGGCCTCCAGAGTCCAACTAACCACACGATTTCTGCAGCTTGGTACTAAGTTTTTTTGTTTATTTGTTTGTTTGTTTGAGAGGTTTTTGCTATAGGGCATGTGCGCTAGCCAGAAAGACAGAGAGAACCAGAGAGACAGAAAGCGAGAAATCATCCCCCAGAAGGGATGGCCACGCCGCGACCATTCTCCTCTCGGGATCTTGGGCACACACACACACACGCCCGGCGTGAGTTTAAGTCACTGGGTCCGGGACTTGAACCGCGGTCAACTGCATGGGAGTTTAGCGACACAGCCATTATGCCAACTGCTGATACCAGTGCTAAGTTTTGAAATTGGAAATGTGAACCCTCTAACTCTGTATTTCTTTCTTTCTCCTTTCTTGTGTTCGTTTGCTATAGAACGTGTGCAGAGAGGGAGAGCGAGAGGATCTGAGGAAGAAAGCAGCCCAGGGTGGTGAGCACACCACAGCCCTCTCCCCACTCTCCTCCCAGGACCTAGGGCATGCATGCACATGCACCTAGCATGTTTTATCTCTGCTGCACGCCAGGTGCAGGGCTCGAACCATGCAGTTGGCTGGGTGGGGTCCAGTTGCCTCAACCACCACGCCACCAGGCTGGCCCTAACTGACTGTTCTCCAGGCAGTTTGGCTGTCGGAGGACTTCTGCACCGCCATCCAGACCAGGGCCAGCTTGCTCATTTCTGTAGAGCCTTCCGATATGGGATACATAATTCCAACAGAAATGCAGTCATTAATCTTAAAATAAGTGCCTCTAAGACGACAGGGTAAATCTCACCGAATGTCAAGGCCCAGTCCAGGTGGCGCAGGCTCCTGGGGACCACACGGCAGTGCTGGAAGCCACACATAAACCGTGGGAATTCCCCACCCATGTGGCCCAGTGCACACCGGGCATTCACACCCAAGACCCCACAGGCTAGAGGCTGGAGAAATGGGACAGGGTGCGGCCAGCCTCGTTCTGAGCGTTTGCAGCACAGAGAACCCATCTACGACCTACAAGCCCTGCTTCGAGATGTCCTGCCTCTCTGGGTCAGACCAGTGGGAAAACTTTTCACTAATTCCAAACTTTGTCTCTCGCTCTGAAACCAAACAAAAGGAACCACTGTATCTGAGGACCAGAGAAAGGTACGTTTGCCTTTTCTCAGGCCTGGGGCACTCGTGGACATGCTCAGAAATAAACCACATCAATTCCATTTCTGCAGAGTTGGTTATTCTGTTGACACTCCCTATCTCCGGACTTGACCTGCACTTCTAGCTAAGGAAGTCATGTAATACACACACACACACATGCACACACACGCGCACACACACACACACACACAGTTTCTTTCCAAAATAGCCATATTCTTTTATTGGATGATTCAATACACTTTTAATTCAGATGGTCACCACGTAACCTAGGCACAATATTAAGCATTTTACAAGCCAAGTATTTGACTGATTTTCTGTTCAACGGCCAAAGAACACAGTAAGTGAACTGGTTAAAGGATATACTTCTGTGCATGAAAATATCCACGCCTTTTATGAGTGCATGGAACAGAGTTCGAGGACAGGAAGTCCGGGCAGCAGCCGTGCCCGCGGCAGAGTGGCGCTCCTGGCGTTGCCTGTCTCCAGGGGCCCCAGCTCCCCCAGCTCCCCCAGGTGAGGCTCGGCCGCCCTCCAGCAAGGGTCCGGGTCATCACGACAGGATTCGAATTTACTTTCATGTGTTTTTAGTTGTATTTATTTACGCTTTTTACTTGTATATCCAATAGCAGAAGAGGAAGTGGGGATGAGTTACTTACTTTCTAAGAGGCTCGGCCGCCCTCCAGCAAGGGTCCGGGTCATCACGACAGGATTCGAATTTACTTTCATGTGTTTTAGTTGTATTTATTTACGCTTCTTACTTGTATATCCAATAGCAGAGAGGAAGCGGGGATGAGTTACTGACTTTCTAACAGCCCTGCCCCTCGCCATTCCCTCTGACTTCCTGCCCGAGCCCCGGCCCGGCCCGGAGCGAGGCTGCGTCTCTGGAGCAGCGCTTCACGCCACCGCTTCACGCCACTGTGCTCCTCTGGCTATAGCAATTCTCTTTAGAAAAATTCGTCATGCTAAAAATAGCTGATCTAGGTTGTCATAGAAAAGAGTATTAAATACCTTTGGTAAAAATAGATATATTTAACAAGATTAGAAAAGACACCAGTTATAACTGTCAAAGTAGAGAGTATAAAAATGTCCACAAAACAGCGAACGAACAGCCTAGGGACAGTGCGGGTGAGGCCACTGCGCCGAGCCCGTCTTCTCCCCACACAGGCGTGGCTCTCTTCTGCCAAATGACAGAAACTTCAAAGAGAAATAGGAAGACCGGTCTCCCCGTGGGCATGGCACAGCTCAGTTCACAGCAAGTCAGCCCCCTGGCAAGCCGAGCGTGAGGGCAGAGCCCCCGGGGCGTCAACGTGGATGGGAGGGGCTTCAGGCCAGGCCCTGAGCCCAGAAGGCAGCACGGCTGCAGAGCAGGGGCGCGGGGCACGGAGTCCTGGCCAGCATCACCCAGGCCGCGCCCTCACGGTGCCAGGTGTGTGGCAGGTGCAGCCTGCTGGCCGTCTGCTGGACCCTCCCATGACCACGACGGGGGCCTCGCTCTGCCTCTCCCCGACAGCGGGGTTGTCTCTGTCCGGTGGGTGTCCCCGTGGGAAGGCACTACAGGTCGTGAAGATAACTGTGCTCACGGTGAGCCCATGTGAGGGTGAGTGGCCACGGCCCAGTGCAGACCAGGCAGGCGCTCCCTGTGCTCAGCGGGTCAGCCACTACCCGCCCGGGCTCCCTCGGCACACGCAGTCACACGCCTCATGGTGCTCCAGGGCCACGTCGGTGAGGGACTTGTGCAGGCCTCTGACGCCGACCTTCGGTCTCAACTGCAGGACCTGGGGGGACAATGCAGCCATCTTTAAACAGCCACTGACCACTGCCCGGGCTGACTGACAAGTTGCTAACCCAGAAGGATGCATGGGCGTTGGGTGCCTCTGCTCGCTCCCCTCGCCAAGACCTGGCACCCCATCCCACCATCTCACAAGGAAACGGCCTCAAACGCACAGGGGAGGCGTGCTACCCCGGCTGGCAGGGGCCTTGGGCGGGCTCCCGCCATGCCTGTCTGCCCGGCTTGCCCCGAGATGGCTGCCCTGCAGCTGCTGGAGCAGACGCCCACCCCTCACGCACACAGGCACGCCTACCAAGTGCTCGCACAGGAAGTGACACAAGGCTCGCACTGAGCAGCGTGGTGGCCCGCAGCTGTGCCGGCTCAGTTACGCCAAACGGCAGCCTTCCCGGCCACACTTCGAGCCCTCCCATCTGATGGCCGGGAGACGCCTCCTGAAACTCGGACCCCAGCCGGGTCCTGGAGCCTGATGAGTCGGCCACCCTAGCAGCCAGGCCTCTGATGGCTGAGGCTGTCAACAGAGACGTAAGCAGACATAGCGGGTGGACAC